TGTGTGTGTGTGTGTGTGTGTGTGTGTGTGTGTGTGTGTGTGTGTGTGTGTGTGTAAAAGATAAAGAATGATTTGTTAAATAATTCTAATAAATGTGACATAAAATTTTTTGATGAAGACAGCGCGTAATTTCTAATTTTCTGCGATCTTCTGTGCTAATAGATTAAAAGAGAAAGAAAGATGGGTGGAGGAGGATGTGAAATATGGATGACCATCCTCCGACAGCTCTTCAGTAACAAACGGGCGGACCGATTTGAGAACCGCGAGAACACTCATCGTCTAATAATAATATCTTGCTCAAATTTCTATTTTCAGGCCGATAAATGCGCTCGCGGCTTTTATGTAAAAAGCTAAAACGACTTTACCGTACTCGCGGATGCGGATTCCGGATTCCTAGTATGTTAGATTGAGAATATACCGGAAACTACGGCCATCTTCGTCGTTTCTACTATCCCGGAAGGTCCATGCGTACTTCGCAGCGAGTATACTGTAGTTTACTTTCGCGAACAAATAGTCCGCGGCGCGTAAACTTGTCAAGCTTAGCGAATAACGAGCACCGCCTGCTAGGCGAGTAAATTCGAGTTAGCGGGATAACAGAAACGGTTTAACGCTTCAGGAGCGCTGGTGGAGAGAGAAACGTGAGATCGTACTCGTGATGTTTTATAAGTATACACTGGGTATATAAAAACAATATACGATAAATAAATAATTTATTAAAATAATAAATAAATTTTTTATTAATTTAGATTTATTTTTCTGTTTTATTTTCCTGTTTTTCCTTTCCTATTTTAATACTGCAATCAGCTCTATGTATACCGCAATTAACATGTAACATCGTACAATATCTTGAGAATAAATTCTTCGTATTTAACACACATTCTGTAATGTAAATCTTTAAAATCAAGTTCATAATTTCTCCTTCTCTCTCTCTCTTTCTCTCTCTCTTAGTCATTACTTTTTAATTTTTAATGTTGTATATGTTTTATAATATCTAAATAATAAAATAACAAATTAAAAAAATATTTTGATCAATTGTTTACTTTACAGACATGCGATAGATATACATGCATGTTTATGAACAATTGATCAAAATTTATTGAAAAATACGATAAATATCTATATATAATATGTGCATATAAATATATATTGTGTAAATATATATATACAATATATATTCCTGGCGGTAAAATTTACGACAAACCACATAAATTGAGACAAGATTTTAGAAATTATTAGTTTTTCATAAATATTTGTAGTGGGACGCAGAGCGGTCATTTATTTGTTTAAAAAAGTCTAGAAATCCTTCATCTCCTCAAACAACACCACTCTATACGTATCACTACGAATACCTACGAAAAACTAAGAATTTCTAAAATAAACAAATCTCACTCTACATCTCACTATGAATATCTACGAAAAACTAAGAATTTCTAAGATCTTATCTCAATCTATGTAGTTTTTCTGTACTTTTTCATAAAAATTTTTTTTCGCCAGGGATACTATATATTATATATAGATGCATAATGTACACACATACAATAAATATAATACTCTACTTTAGCTTTTTTTTACTTGTAAATTCAGCATTTTAATATATAAAACATTTACAATACTAAAGAAAAAATAAAATTATATTCACAATTATGAAAATAGCAACTTTACGGCAATATCTCTGTTATAGATACACACATGACCTGCGTAATATGTTATAAAAAGTTATGCAATGTCTATGCAATAGTTAATGGCATATCTATTTATCCTAAAAGCAGTTTGAAATTGCGACTAAGCATTAATATTTTATTAGTTAACATAAACATATTTTATGCTATTTCTAACAATGAAAATTAAAGCTTTATCACGCAAATTCCTAGCGCTGTATTATTCATCTGTCTGTTACATTGTTAGATCCATTAGACACGATAGACACATTACATGCCGCCAGTATGCAATAATAATTCGAGACGTCGTCGTCTTCATAACCGTAAGCGCAGCCCGCACGTAGGCGTACGTAACCATATACTTGGGCCTTTTACATAAAGGCACGTGCGTATACACGTATATCTCCCTAAAAATAGAAATTTGAGTAAGATATTATTATTAGACGATGAGTGTGTGGCCGGCGCGGCTTCTTACCATGGCACTCACTACGGTGACGGTACCTAGTTACGAAAAGGCGAGAGATCACGATCTCCTCGTGTACTACCACTCTGACGCTACTCTCGGCCACTTTCGTCGAAATGAGGAATCCCGCGGTCGGAACGAGGGGATGCTCGGGAACGCGGAAAGCACCCATTAGCCCAGGAATTGTAGGCTGGTTAAAGATTTCTAAGCATAGTGAAAAATACTTGTAATCATTGTTCGATGATTGTTGAATTAAATTTTAGAATGTGCATCAATCACTCTTAACTTTTTAACTATTATCTTAATTGAGAATTCTTTACAGAAAGATTTAGTAATATGTATTTGTATTAACCATGCAGTACAATTTAATGTTACAAATAATTTTAAAAAGTTAAGAAAATGGATTATTTTGTAAAAAAAAATGTAAAAAGAAATATATATTATGTTAGAAATATATAGAATAATAGTACAATAAAAAATAAAATTCCGTTCTACTATATTATAAATAAATAAAATTTAATAAAAAATACTCTTACATGAAAATGTTTGCAACATTTGTATAATAATTGTCCACCATATTTCGTAAAATTTACTCGGTTTAATTTAATACTTATTAAAATTATATTTATAAAATTGAAATTATTCATAGAAAAAAATCAAGCATGTGGGAGTCAAAACGACAGCTTTGCATATTTTTGCTATGTTTCATTAAATGTGGATACTCTTCGGAATTCTCTCTTCGCGTCTTCGATGTATTTTTACTTTCCGTCACGATAATTCTTCTCGGGGTGGAATATTCCGTCATGAGCCTTTGAAAATTTACATTTTCAAAGTGGTTTATGTAAATGTTCTCAAACATGTATTTTAATGTAGGCGTATATAGGATATCATATAATATATGAGAGAAACGTTCAAAAGCTATATTATATTTTTAATATTTTTTTATAGCATTTTTAGTGAGAAAGATGTTTATCAATTGCAAAGAAAAAAATAACTCACAGAAGTAATAACTTACAAAGCTAAAATATTGACTTTAAATATATTCTTTTGATTCTAGAAAAGAATATAGTTAAACAAACAGAATATTATTGCCTTATTAACTATTACGTCTTTTCGATATTCGGCTTTCTTTTTCCAATGCTTTAAATTTGT